TAAATGACATTTCATTATGGCACAGATCGCCAAGAAAGTAAAGAAACTTGCGACGGTACAATTGTACAATTTGAAATTACTCCTAAACGGTATTCTTCACTACATTTTTTGCAATGACGAAAAAGAAAAGAACTAATTTTCTAAACTAATTCAAATCATAAAAGCATTATAATTGTCTATTTTAATGTATAGTTAGAAGGATGTATTCTTTGATAGAACTGAGGAAGAAATGTTTTACTGGAAATCTCAAGATTAATAAATTTTAAAAAAGTCAATGAAATTGGAAACTATTCGTATAGATAAATGTGTACTGAGTAAAGATTTTTTAGCATGCGCATGCATAAATATAATTTTAACAACAAGAAATTTTAATAACATTTTTAAAATCTAGGTCGTGGTCTATCGAATTTCAAAAAACGCTACAAGCTTAAAGGGGAACTTGGTCGTGGTGGTTTCGGAATAGTCTATCGTGGAATGCGAATTTGTGATGAACTTCCGGTTGCTATCAAATTCATTGATCGTGACCAAGTTCGCAATTGGGGCAAAGTAATATTTTTCCCATCATCCGAACAACTCTAAAACTAAACTTTTGGTGTGGACACCATTTAACAGGACGGAATATCCATTTCAGTTGGAAGATGAGCGGTTACCGATGGAAATTTGTATGTTAGCACGATGTGTTAATGTTCCGGGAGTGATCAAACTACTGGATTGGTACAGTATGCCACAAGGTTTTTTAATTGTAATGACACGTCCATATCCATGCGTTGACCTATTCGATTTTATTAAAAGCCATAAGAAGTTGGATGAAGATGTAAGTTTAACAATTATAAATAATTACGCCAAGAAAAAATGGCAGAAATTATCCCTATAGCACTTGGCATTTAACATAACAGCCTTATAATGGAAGAAGCTCCCAATATCACCTAAAAAATTCAAAAATAATTTCAGACTATATTCTGTCATTCATTAAAATCTTTTACAGCTTACGCGATTTCTGTTCCGACAAATAGCTCTGACTATTCGCGACTGTGCCCAGCAGAAAGTATTGCATCGTGATCTCAAGGTCTGTATTGGTAGTGTACAAAAATAAAAGACTACAAAAATTAATGTCCCTGCACTTTCTATGTGCAAATTTTTTAAAACTGCATTTATCATTATTTTTGAAAAATTGATTAGCAACTTAAATATTTTTCTCGAAATTCAAACACAAACACTGTGGCGTAAATGATCATCATCATCATCAGTGGGTCAACCAATTGGTATTATCATATTTTGTTTTTTCTGTTTTTTGTTTTGCGATGAAATCTTATAAACAGTTGCAGGATGAAAATATAGTAATCGATTTGGTGAGTGGCGAAACATCACTAATTGATTTTGGTGCTGCAACTTTGCTTAAGAAGAATCACTACACTGATTTCCAGGGTATCTATTTATTAAAGCTGATTTAGACAATTTTACTTTCACGAAATACATTTAGCCTCGAAGCAACGAGTTCTTTGTTATCTTTGTTATCACTTCGATATTTACTTCCTCTCAATAGAAGCAGTAGACACAATTACTTCATTCAAGTTACATAGTTGAACAGTGAAATTAGCTTTCATCACTTTCCACTAATCAAGTGATATCTTTCAGGAACTCGTTTATACTGTCCACCGGAATGGTTCCTGCACTCGATGTATTTAGGTTGCGAGGCAGCGGTCTGGTCGTTAGGTGTCCTACTTTACAATATGCTCAACGGGAGGTTGCCCTTTCGTAATGAAAAAGAGATTTGCACATCACATCTACTAGGAACATTACCATTCTATGCAGAAGTCAGCAAAAGTAAGTTTTAGAAGTAGGATACCGAAATAAACGGAATGAGAAACATCCCTCTTCCGTATTTTAAGGTTTTAATTTATAGCACTTAGCATGTTCAACTAGAAAATTGAGAAGTCCCTAGCTATTCAACTAACTTCAATTCGATTAACTTTCGAAGAGATTTTTTGGAATTTTGAAATTCTGAAAGTAAAACTACTTCGTCAGGTGCTGTGGATTTGGTCAATCAATGTTTGCGCTTTGAACCGAACAAGCGATGCACCCTGGACACAATTTTGAAACATTCATGGATTCGAACTCCATGTGCTGACTGGTGTACACTGATAGACCGAACATATCAGAATTCATCTGATGGTCAACAATGCAGTGTTATAGGCACGGATCACATTTCGAAGGAACGAACGGAATCAGGGTAAACTTTTTGCTATCCTTAGTGATGCTATTGATGAGCGATAAATTAAAAAACATCGATGAATAGAGATAGCTAGCCATGAGAGATACCGGATTTGTTTCAGTTATACCGAATCAGGTGCCGATAGCACGTCCAGTTTCAGCTCATCCACTTCGTCTTCATTCACTGCTCGTCATCACCGACATGAACCGGGAGCAGGTAGTATGGTTGCAGGACCTTTATTTCGTCACAGCAATGATTGTCAACACTGGGAGAGAATTCGGAATTGTCAGTCGAAAACTTCGCTGATCAGTGATTCCTCTCCACCAGTGAACATCCAAGAATTTATAAAGATGGTTTATCTAGAGCAGAATAATATTCCCCTCAGTGGAATGAGTAAAACACATTCCATTCATCACCCGTCCATTCCTCCTCCTCGATCTACTTTTTTACACCTTCAAAATCCGGAGGAAAGCAACTGGACGGAATTTCCTACTTTAAGACCCTTAATAGGAAAGAAACGTTCCAACAATTCCGTACAGCAATCGGCACTTTTTTCACCAGCAGCACTACTACCAAAACCATCCAGCTATGCAAGCTTTAATGGAAGAACAGGTGGAGTACTGGTATTTTAATACTACTTTGTATGTCTTTGTCCATGAAGTTTTACTGTATGTTCAGATATTTCGTTGTTCGAAGATTTGATTTGGATAATTGCTAGGAACTAAGGAAGATTTGAATTCGCAACACAGAATAGCAGACAGTCGACAAAGTTGCAAAAAAGTTATTCCCAGAAAACGTATTCTTTCTTCTTCCTTTGACTAACAACAAAATGAAGTAGGACGACAGATCACTTTGCAGATTAGCAGATAAATGTACATCTTTTGTCGCATTGAATTATTGCAAACTTTAATAAATTACTCCACTTGCAAAACTGCATATGAAATTTAACTGATTATTACTATTATTATTCATGCTTACAATTCTTCCTTGTGTTACTTGACTGGAGTACTTCGGGATGAATAGTTTTATTGTAGCGCTTCATAAGAATCATGAAGCATACAAGAAACTTCATAAGGAAGAAATGTAGGGGAGACTTGCTGGTCATTTTTCGCAGAACAATTCTCTTATAACACTGAAACAATTATACCTCAAACTTTTTTTTTTGCAAATCCTTTGGAGTGTAAATCAAATCAGCACCAACTTCACATTATTTTCAGTTCAACCTTTGGTCAAAAAGCTTCGTCAAAATCACGACGACCTTGAGGTCTCCACATACTTTAACCACAGGAAAGTAAATCTAAAAAGCAGTAGAGTTCAGATATTGGAGCGTCCTTCTACCGTACTCGTTTCAGAAAAGATAACGATTATAACAAAATTTATTTCAAATTTAATTCAAAACCAAAACAGGACATAGGCACATTCATCAGTAAACTTTAAAAAGTAAAGAAATTTAATTCATTCATTAACATTAATAGAAATGATTGGCAACGACGATTGCACTTGTCCATTAAAAAACAGTTTGCGATTAAATAAATCCCCGACAGTTTGAAAACTTTTAAAAGATAATCCAGGGCAATAATCCTAAGAAGTAGCAACAAGAATAAAAATTAGTTTATATTTGTTAAAATTGCTAATGCATATTGCATAGGTATTCGATTAGATGCGATATCTGATGTAGCTGTATAATGCACGAAATGATCAGAGGCACTAACATCTTGATGTGCAAACATAGCTTGTAGCTGTAAAACAAAAGTAAAATGTATCTCGCAACTGTCAGAGAAAGTAAAAAGCAAACGTACATTGCAGCAAATAGGATATATTAAACAAAAGTGAATCCTGATTTCATAAGGACGTTATTCGTACATTGCATGAGAAATAATAGGCATTAGAATGGTTTGAGCAACTGATATAAACGATATGAAGGAGCAAAAAATGATGTACCTTCAACTTCTGTATTACTTCTTTCACCAATATTGTATTATGAGTGTTTAGAAAGTTATGGAATGTTGCAATCGAAGTCCTAATTAGCGAATTTGGCGTAAAATCAATTTTTGTCTGAATATGAGTACAAAATTTTCATTGATTTATATCCACGACAGATAAATGACTAACATAATAACATAGTATCCTCTTTTCTGAAATAAATGATAATTTGGAGACAGCAATATCCTGTATCAGATACAGTGGAAGGATCACAAAAAATAGTTCAATTTAGAAATGTTCAAAAGTGATGAGATAAAAAGTGTAAGGATTAAAGACCAAGGCTACAAGGTCGAAAGAACTCATTATACATGAGGTTGGAAATTTTGCAAAAAGCATTTAACAAGTAACGGCAAGTAATATGGCTTAAAATCATATGATAGATCGAATGAACCGTTTGGTGGATAAAAAGAGAAATTAGGAAATCCTCATTCAACCACAAAGTAATGTCCTTCAATTATTAAAAGGCTATGGAAAAATGAAAAACTTTTCTTGTAATCTTCTGAAAATTCACATGGCTAGTATGATCTATTGGCTGATGTTTCAAGCAAAGATCTACTTGACGTCTCATCATCTAGAAACAGATTCTCCGATATCTGTGGTCATAGAGACGAAAAATAGTGCATCCAATGTTTAATACGAATTTGTTTCCTGTAAAGGCATACTGAAGGGAATAACGAGGCATCTCTAAAATTAAACAATAAAAACTTAACTTCAGTCCAAATGATTTTATCACCGAAAACAGAACTTGATTACATGAAAGCATTGAGATGATTGATTACTGACAACATACCATTTGTCACGCACACTATTCTCCTTGTTCCTGAACTATATCAAGTTGATGCTCTGGTGATAGATCATGAGTACCCGTTTTAGATTCCAGTAATCGTTTCAAATAACCACTCTGAGGTATTTGGTAAGTGGGATCCAGCACGTCCACAAACTGCTAAAAAAGAGAAAAAACTCGCATGAACGGTGTTAACAGTGTCTTTAAAGGTTTTGGAAAATTTGCACCATCTTTTTAACATCGTGTAAAATAAACGATGTGAAAATGTAGAAAAAAGATCATGCAGGGTACATGAAATTTTATATGGATAGAAGAAAAATGCCTAATACGAAAATTATTATTGTAAGCACAAAATCCATTTTGCCAACAAAAGAACTCATGCAAATGAATCCTATTAATAGTACTGAAATGTAATCAAGTACAAATAGCAAATAGATACAAATGATTACCAAAATGTTTAATAATAAAGCAGCTGAAATAGTGTGTAGCTCTGCACACAATAATCTTTAAATGAATATAGAGATTCAGAAACATTATGAATCATGAAGATTTTGACGGAAAGTACAAAAACTTAGGAAAAACAATTACCTTAAACTCAGGTAGTTCAAGTAACTGGAACGCATTTGCTTTAATTAAAAACTTCGCGAGAGCAATATCTCTCGCTGACTTGACAGAATTAAGTTGTTCATCGGTGGTGCTTGTGGCTGCTAGGTCACGAGATGGTACAATTGGTTTTGTAGTATTAATAGTGGCAGTTGCTGCAGCAGAGGTAGTGGCAGTTATGTTACTCACTGGATTTTCAACACTTTTACGTGTTTGGCGCACCTTCACTACTTCACCAGTCGGCAGTCTTTTACTTATTGTCCTAAATTAATCCAGTGAAACAGAAGAAAACAGCATACAATTAATGCATTTATAAATGAAATAACAAAAAAAGACTGCGTCCCAGAAAAATGCAGGGAAATATTTCTCAAAACCGAAGAACCATCCGAGAAAACTCCTTTTACGGTGAGATACTTAGCACTGTAGAGTATCCCCTACTGCAAAGGAATCCACATCTTACGATTCAAAGTTGACAAGATGGTTTACTTAGCTCAATACTAGTTACCCGGTACTAATTCTTTCTTGCGCTTACATGCTCAGGATTTGCAGAGAAAAAACAAAATAAGACTTGTAATCTGAAATTTAGGGACTTGCATATTACGCTTAAACTCCACCTAACGGATTTCGTTGTATCCAAGGCAGATGAAATATGTGCATTCACCAGATGATTGCGGACGGTGCTTCCACTGACCACGGATTGAGCATTTAGAAATTTATTTTGTAATGGTGGTTTTGATGCTACCATATCCGACTTTGCGAGACCAAGACGCATCAGCAAATTGGTGTCGACTAAACTTGACGTTTCATCAGAACCAAAACTAACGGTTCTATTTGTGTTACCAATCGCAGCGTAATCAATATTTGGATCTGAATAGTAATTATAAACATTTTCATGATGTTTACTGGTTGCATAGGCTACAGAATTCAGCATGTTTTCTTATCTTGTACAGAATTCACACTGTACAATTAAAATAACAAACAGGACAGACTGATGGAACATGTTTATGAAAGGGAAAAATATAAAGGAAACAGTTGAAACATTAAACTCAAATAGGTTGGATAAAATCTGGGAGTGCTGAAAAGTACTATTCTCTTAACATCAATGAGAATCTCACTAAACTTGAGACAAAAGGAGAAGACAGAAAAAAAGAATGATCTATGGGAAACTTTCATTGAATATGAATAAAAATTTTACTGAATAACAGCCTTTACCTGAAAATCTCAAATTTTTGTCTGATCACAGAAATTTACGTTTGCGCATAGCATTAAAAATATAAAGAATGAGTAGTAACTGCTCATAATGGTAATCTCTAGTAAACTACATCTAAGAAATTAGATACAGAAGCTAATAACGAAGTGCAATGGAAAGAGGTAAGAATAGAAAAAGGAGGAGGGGAAAACGAATGAATAATTGACGATATTTAATAGAAGTTTGAGTAGGTAAAGCACAAAATATAATGCAAAAAAGTCTTGATTTCTTTTTTCTATAGACACTTGGAAATATTATACAAGGACTGAAAGTATTATTATACAAGGATAATTTCACTGAAAACATTTAATAAACACTGTAAACCCAGAAACAAACTAACACTGTAAATCCAACGATTGCGTTTGATTTGCTGCTGCCATCTCTATCATCGCTTTGACACGTTCCGTATTAGTCATGGATGTAAAACTTTCATCCTCAAAAGCCCCTGTACTGAAATGCCAAACGCGATCAAATGAACCGGAAAAACTTCCCATTTTAGCTGATGTCATTCTGATTATAACTAACCAATGGAAAAAAAAATGCTTAATACCAATTTCGGAGAAAGATGCTTGACAAGTACTACAGAGAGAGAGAGAGAGAGAGAAAGATACTTGGTATCAACTTGTTTTACCACCACATATTCTCATATCAGAAATGGAAAAAGATATTTTTTAGTATATACCTCAAGGATCTTTTCTTCTCTTCTGCTTGTTCTTCTTCCGCACTACTGATATTTGTATCTTCGCTGCTGCTTCTGCATATAAGAAATGTTTATCCAGTTGCTCGATGTTTTTTTCACTATGTGTCAAACAAACCATAAAATTGTTCCCGATAGTTCCTATCTTCTCTAGATAATTTGCATTGCCTGCGACTTTTTGATCGATAATGCAAAAATCTAGAGTGCTGATCTAGTGAATCTGATAAATGCAGAAAGGAAAAAATTCAATTAATCCTCCGGGTTACCTGTGTATTTTCCTAATTTCAGTCGACGGCTTTATTGAAACAAGGCATTCAGCTGAATCTATATATTATATGTCTAAATGACTAGTTTGTTTTAAAATCCACTATCATACATCAGTCCTTGCCCAGAAGCTAGGGATTTGTGAAGTATTTTCTTGTATGTTATGAATGCTATTTTCCATATTATTTCCTTTCTCTGATAATTTGTATGTGTTTATTGGCCTTATTTTGCTTGTGCCGTGACATATATATGTGAGAACTTTTTAGGAAAAGCACTGATGGATATGGAAATAAACTGTAATTCAAAATTTAGTAATTAAATGCATTCCCACTGACTGGAAGCATGGTTCACCCATCTCTCGGATTAAGCTTACATTTTTGTTTTCTATTTCAGAAAAGACTGTACATAACAGTATAGAAGCATTTCCGTCTTCTCATCATGAAAAGAGTAGTTACTAGAGAGAAAGGGATGAGGAAAAGAGTTACAAACTTTACAGTCTGATTTGTGGCTATGAATAGCACGATTAATGATCATTAATTTTCAATGCAACTGCTCTTACTCTCTGAGGGTTCAAATAACATTTCAAATTACAACCCACTTTTTTAAGGTAGATGAAGGTGTCTGAACCGATTCTGGGATAGGGCTGATTCCTTCTTCCAAACGTTGGCGTGATTCCAGTATTAAAATCAGTCGATAATCACTTTTGTGGTGTGCTTTCAGATGCATTTTCAAATTTGTACTGAATGGCGATGAGGTGCTGAATGGGCAATTAACACATTTCACAGTCTGAAATAAGAGCTGTTTTTCAAACGATTTACAAAATTAATCTAGACATGGATCATGCAAATTGCGTAAGATTTTCATTCCGGAACATTTGCTAATTAAAATTATAACTTGTGAAACGCAAATTGGATAATAATCCAACAAGAAAGATTCCTAAACTGTTAAAAAGATATATCATTGGCATGTTGCAGAGGTTATTTGAAACATTATAAATCATAATAAAAAGTTGTGAATTGAAAAACTTACTTTACTACCGTCACCGACATCCTTAAAAAAACGCCATACAGGATGTCTTCGCAAACGCCGCCGCTTTAAAACAATTGCTGATTGGCTGCCCATTGGGGAAGTAACTTTGTCAGTCCTCCCACTTGCATAAGTTATATTATAAGATGATGGTGAATCTGCAAAAATAAACACACGCAAATTAAAAAGAGCTTGGAAACTCAGGAAAGCTTTGAAACAAGAAAAGAATGAGAATTGTTATTAAACTATAAAAACTCCTAAGAGCGCATTCATATCATTTCTTTAATTAATCTATGATGGTACTTTATCAAAATGAAACTTAGCCAAGATCCCCTCTTAGAATGTTAGTAAGCTAAATTCATCCTGCCGTTCCTTCAACATGTACTGAAGAATTTGTATTGAATGCCATCACAAAAAGAAAGAAAAAATCCGATTTATGAATAAAATTTGAAATACTTATTCCTCATAAGCAAAGTACCTGGAGCAAAGTTCGGTAAGTTGTCTCGATCCAATCAAAGAAGATCGAGACAACTTACCGAAACCACTCTCACAATATTTTTTGTATTTCCAAAAGACAATTCTTGAATGGTCACGCAATGAGAATTAGGTGGTGCAGACTAAGAAAAAATAATGAACAATCCAATTTCTTTTATTTTTCCAACTTACTCTGTGATATTTTGTTGAGTGTTTTCAATCTTTCATTGTCACCAGTAACAAGCGCCTTTGTCTGATTTAATGGTGCGTTTGCAACAGATTTTACTGAAGTCTCTGAGATAACTTTCAAGAAGTCAGGCAAACTCTTCGTGAGATCTGGTGTGATTTTTAGATAATCCAGTGGAAGCTGTGGTTCCGAAAATGCTTTGGAGGAATCCAAAATGCTCCGAGATGTAGTAGGTAGTGTGCGAGTTCTATTACTTATTGTAGTTATATTAGCGGTAGTGGTAGTGGTGGTAGTAACCACCGAACCACTTTGAAAGCCACCGGTCTGATTCAATATGCCCAACAGAACTGCAGCACTGCTTAGATTAGATCCCGTACTTGAAAGTGTATTATTGCTAATATTACTATTAGCAGTATTATTACCACTATTGCTACATCTTCCAACTGCCGGTAGGGCAGTAGTTGTTACGTGATGCATATAGGGGGTTTTCGCTATTGCTATTGTTGTCGCACAGGTAGCCAAGAGAGAATTCTGCAACGAGATTTGTTCCTGTTGTTCTTCCTCTGCTTTCAGGACCTACAATTTCAATTTTATTTATAAACAACTATTAAGAGTTCCAAATGTTTAATATAACTATGTTTTAAATCTTTAAGCCATCTTCAATTCATCCAACTACAGATTTATCATTAATCCCTCTCTACACTGAAATCTTCAAAACTAAGAAAGAAATCAGCATCCTGTTTATCTGAAACCATCAAAATACGTCACCGTAAGCCAATTTTATTTCAATAATCATAATATTACATACTCATAGTTCACATCCAAACAAAACCATATACACAATTTTTCTGGTTTGAATCTCTTTATTTCATGTAACGGAAGACTGAAATATGAACTATGATATCGAAAACCTTATCTCAAATTCTACATTTCTAGTCTCGAACTTTTAAAAGTATCAATATCCTAGCAACTCTACAACAAAGTTGAAGTCCTCTATTTCCTTCAAAGTAACAACTGAGAAAAAATTTTCTCAACAACTAAAAGATCTAAAATTGAAAAATACTAGGATAATTTACATTTTAAAAACTAACTTCTTCAAAGAGATCATGATGATGTGTCCTTAGGTGCACTTTCAGATTTGTGCTAAACACTGATTTCGTGCAATAGTTACAATGCTTGCATGTTGCCATCCCATCCTTCACTATAAAATACGGCCATACGGGATTTCGACGTTGGCGTTTTCTTCGTAATGCTGCAGATAATGTCATATCTGAAAAACTTTAGTTATTGTATAATTATATACTATTATCTGATTATGTTTCTCAAGAACTTACTGGTATAACAAGAATACCATTCATTCAAAACAGTGAATAAATTTTAAACAAAAAACATACCGCTGGAAATGTAAGCACCCGGATTCGATGTCTCAACTGCTTCATTAATATCATAAAGGTCGGAATTCTTTGAACCATTATTATCTGCTCCTTAAATAACAATTGGCTCTGTCCCTTAGTAAGAAGGTTCTAGGATTATTCAAGATATAAAAAAAAAAAAAATGAAATACCGCAAAAAGGACTCACTACCCTCTCCAAAAATTCTATCTAGAAATGCATCGTTTTTGGATCCTTCATTATCATCATCATCATCATTGTCATCTACACCACTGTTAAACGGATTCCGTGATGAAGTACTGTATTTCGACTTTGTCATTGCAGCCAAACTCCTTTCTAAAGCAAAATATTACAAATTATATTAACAGTGCAGTATTCCAAATTCAGCTTGTTATTACCCATCATTTTGAAAAATATTCGATAGCACAACTACGAGCACTGTTACTTTAATCAAAAACTGACTAACAGAACATTATTACATTTTAGTAGCGACAGCAGTGGAGAATAAATTATTTAATTTAATCCTTAAATAAAAGTTAAATACACAGAAACTGACCACACAAAATGTTTTTTCACCGATCCCTTATAGGTCATTCACACATCAAAAATAATTTAATTATCATTACCAACAGCTGTTTGGCCATCTTCATCAAAGCTGTCCTTCGAACAATTTTTAACTTCTAACGGGCGTCCTTCGTTAGCAATTCGTAAAGCTGTACAACTGGTAACCTGAGACAGATCTTCTATTTCTCGTACTGATGAAAATCCTGTGTCTGCAGATGTTCTCTTCAAACCTAAAGCCATCATTTTTTATTTCTTGAATTGAAAAAAAAAATTTTTCAAACACAAAAAAAACCTTTGAAATAAATTCAAAAGTGTATCGCCAGATTGTTCTATGTTTCATATTCCCTTAATATTTCATGAGATAGGACCAACTTCATAAACTTAACAAACTGTAAAATGACATCCTTTTTTCATTTCCAAAAAAAAATGTAAATCCTCGCATCTCACAAAACTTTTTCTTTAAAGCACGTACAATAGCAAACTCACAAATACTACTCATATACCAGCAGCTTCTCATCCTCAACATGGTAAACATTCAGCAGGCGGCCGCCACTGTTTCGCCTTACGGCCTTGTAAATAAATCAGTCCATCGTTTCACCATAGTACTTATTAAATTGATCCCTAAAGTGTCCCAACTAGAATGGTAACATAGCCCGAATGAGAGTCACGAACACTGACTGGAACAGAGGATAACTGGATTGCTGACTTCAAAGTAGATTATAAATAAAAGATGCTAACGAGAGTGAGTAGTAGAAGCTGAGAAACTTGTTTGACTTTGCGTTTGCAGTTTTTTCTTCAAATTAGCAATGGATGTTTCCAGAATTTTCGCCTCCCGATTTGGTTTGTGCCGTTGGGTAGCAAATACTTGTGTACGAAATAAATTATTCCCTGAAGTGCTTGCCATTCCTCCATCGTTTTCCTCCTCTCCAGCATCTGCAATATCTTTTTCTTATTTCATTTCCCTACATTTCTATATCCACGTCAAATATCATCAGACCATCCTAAAACGTTGTGGATAGTACTGACATAAGTCATATGAAACATTCAAGAGCTTTGAGGGACAAATGGACCATCATCTAACTAAATCAAGATGGTGAAGACCGGTAAGTCTTTTGAAAGTTGCGGATCGTATTTTCCTCAGTGGTATGTCCAGTCCAATCAAATTTGCACTATTTCATTTTGATTATTTATGGCTGTTAACAAGTTTGTCACACATTGATAATGTTTTTCAGAAAAATTTGTCCTGTTTTGCCATTTGATCTAAATTGTATTGTTTCCGGAATCCTGTAGTACCGTTCTTTTATGACCATGTATGAATGCTGAAAAAGAGATTATACAAAATCTTACCATTAATAGATTCACTTTCTCCCTTCGTTTCATTGCTACCAGCAACACTCGATCCTAATTAAATGAGGAATTTATTGCATGACGAGTTTTTAATTTAAAAAAGCAGAAGGTTAAAATGAACCAATATGGATGTAAAAAGTAAGTGTAAGATGATAATATTTGCAAGATAAATCACCAATTGTTGATAATAATGCAACTTTTTGTCTAGCACTCCTCAATTCATTTGGATGTACTTATTATTCTCCCTTGAAGTGAACGGAATTTCTCTTGAACAACATGTTTCCAATATTTCTGGAGGATTTTAGAAATACTTGTTTGTCTCTCCTTGTTAAGCACAACGATAACAACACCCCGATTATATGAAAAGCTAACGGAGACAACATAAGTTCTCAAAACAATTACCGTCGTCGTTTTCCACATCCATGTCGCAATCTTCATATTGCAAACCACTAGCCTTTATAAACTCATTCTTCATCATTGTTTTAGTGGAGATCATGACCAAACTGGCGAAGAAATCCGGCTAATTACCAGTTTGTTCCATTAAACTGTATAGACAAAGATTAACAAAAGTGACCAGATACAAAAAATAAGGACTATCTACTTCGATTTTCCAGCATATAACAATTCCTTCACATTCTATCGCATTATTAGCAAAAATTGCAGTTTAACGACAGCGTATTTCCTATCAACTTTAGCAATCACTAAAGTAAAAGTAGTCTGAAATTAATATTATAATTGTACAATAATTAATATTAAAGACATATGTTTACGTGAGAATACATAACAACACTCATATTGACAATGAGATCATTGAAAAAAAAGACGGAATTTCTGCTCTTATAAGATTCACTTAAAGATTTAAGAGAATCTGTAAATTATGGAAAACTGTATGCATCGTGCATCACATTAATGAACATTTTTTTTTCAGCAGAGGCAGCAAGTAAATAAGTAAGATTGATTGAAAAGTGAAGGAAATATCCACATAATACATTAGTTGGTATTAACTGATTTTGTGTCATATTAGTTCAATTATAAGAGATAAAGCACCGCGCGAATTTTGAAACATTTATCGACAATTCTTATAAATTTAAGGATGGGAAAAAAATATATAAACCGGTACTTCGCATGATCCATTATAGCACATCAAATTTGAAAATTCAAACTCTATGAAGATCGATACAAGCAACCAAAATAAGAAAGTGATAAATTATTCATACATGAGGTAAACTCAGGTCGGACTTCAAGAAACACAAATGGAACATATAAAAAATGAGATATAATTTGACAAACATAGAAGTGCTTAGAGTAGAGAAAAATATATAAAAAAGATAAACTTGTAAAAGGCGTCACTACCAGTGAAACCAATGCATGTATATTCATGTTCTATTGGTATAAGTTTTCTTGCGATATCTCAACTATTTTATTTAGATACACAAAAAAAGCATTGACTTTATAAAAAAGGTAAACTGCAAGAACAAAGCAAAGAGTAAGGACACAGGAAACAAAACGAAAAAGGATAGCGGAAGAACAATCCAAGTTCTTCCCTCCTCCGTCCGGTAACAAATGCTCCGATGGCGCCAAAAATTTGTCGAAAACTTTTGTACTTAGCAGATTACATCGAAATGAGCGTAAGAAAAAATGACGACGATAATAATATTAGCCAGATTAATATAATAATGAAATGATGATGGATGTACATTATGGTAGGTAATAATGTCTGACAGTTAAATCACTATGAAATGTTGGATTGCAAAGAGCATTAAATTTTAGTGTGTAACCATATAGTGCTTAATAGCATCCCGGTATTAGTTTTATTGAGTGAGCACTCTTTTCAGTCTAATCAGTCTTTTAATGAAAAGTAAAGTGAGAGTGAGCGCCCGTGCCAATAATACCGCCGCCGCTTGCTGCTAACAAACCTTCATATACAACCTTGAAGTCTTCACCCCTCACACAAACAAAATGCCATTTTTAACATTGCTCATCGAGTTTATTACTTAGCAACCAATGTCGATGTACGAGTAATGATTGTATCACCAACAGTACACGGACCCATAACATATATGCCAGATGTTCTTACTTAACGACTAAGTCGAAAGCATAGGGTAAGTAGTATTTTGGTTGACCTATTTTGATTGTTGACGTTATCTTTTATTAGCCATCCACCTATTAATTATTAATTCTTGATGAAAGTACCTCACGACAGATACAAGTAGGAAATTTTCAAAAAGTAAAATTGCGGAAATTCAATATCTTACCTTATTTGAAATTCCAAATTCTACTTCATCTTTCCTTGCAGTTGTCTGGCTATCTCATCATTTTTTATTTAGCCTGACAAAAGGCTAAAGATCGTCTGAGTGTCCGCTAGAACCTAAGTCTCCTTGCGTCACAACTATATCGATTTTTCCCTTTAATGAATGATTTGCAACAAACAGACATAAAGAATGAGCAAATTTATAGATAACCAGCGTGTAACGTGAACTGCACTCATTCTAAAACGTAAACTGTTCACGTTTACCACATTTACTATTTTTGCGCTGTAGTACTAGGATGACAATATTAGTGCATCTAGGATGCGATTAAAAATATTGTTTATGCCCTTCATTTCTCAATATCTAATGAAGATGAAGACCTAAAAGCCCATATTTTGGAAAAAATCTTCCAAAGAACAGCGTTTAGAATTTCTCAGTTGTCTCTTTTGTTGTCGTTGGCTATCATGGCCACAACAAGCGCTATCTTAGAGCCACTCATCTATAAGTGCCGCACTAGATTTTTCAAAGTTTGAGGACATATATTGGAAACAGTATCATATTCGCCCAGTTAACATTAAACAACAAATCTTATCCACGTATGATCCGAAGTAGATTTTAGAAACTTTAATTTCACATTTTTGAGATTGTAATGTGAAACTTGTCCCCGAGAGACAATTCAAAACGACTGGATCAAAGTCTGCGTTTCTCTGCCAAGGTCGCTCGCTACTTGGAGCGCAATTTCCTCGTCACAGATCTTGTTCATAAGTTAACAGTAGTTTTTCTCAAAGGCAAACTATATATACTTTTACATAACGATGAAATTAATGTTTCAATAACATAATATTAAGTGGGTTTTGAAGATAAGTAGCGAAATAATTTCGAGTGAAATTGAACTCAGTCAAGTATAACTAACATAATTTCATAACCAAAAGTAATAAATCTCATAAGGTAATTGCATTAAGCCAAAAAAAAAGGATGAAAATGACAAAAGAAATGACTACCCAGGCCGAGTATAGTACTCTCTGTGTCACACAGAAAGAGACAAGAAGCGCCCACTTGACATTAGGCGCGTTACTGTCAGAGCCTGTTCCGGTATAGGTAGATGGTATAACTAATTTTAATTGTATCAGTGGGATGGATAGTAATGAAAGAACTATGAGGAGCGGGGACGATAGCAGTAAAAATCAAGGTCAATAGGGAATGGACAAGAGCGAGCTGCTGCTGCTGCTGCTGCTGCTGCTGTTGCTGCTACAATATGACTACCACTGCTGCTGCTGCTATTGATATGAAGGTGGTAGAGGTAGCAGAATTGTCGATGGCACCGAGTACCAAATGTAAACCGTCTATTGCAAAGACAAGGTCAATGGCGCCTCACTCTCATTGGCCTTCATTCTGTGCTGGCTTCATTCCACTATTGACACAGCTCGGGTGCGTTCTCTTCCGTCGGGGGTACTTCTAGCACCACTAGCACCACCACCGCCATCATCATCAGCAGCAGCAGCATTAGCGCCGGCGGCAGCGGCAACAGCAATGGCGGAGACAGCACTGGAAACAGAATATTCAGTAAAGGCAGAAAGGATGGCGTACATAGTGCTGAGTTGTATGGCATGCTGAACCCTTTATGCTGTTAGCGCGAGGCGCTTCTGTCTTTTAATCCACCATTATTCACGCACGCGTCATTCCTTGCCTATCTGTCCAAATAGGGCTACAAATAAGCTAACATATAACAATTATTTCGTTGCATGTGCAGTAAATGACATTATCGCATACCACCCTTTTTTACAGTTGAGTGCCCTCGACAAAACGTCAAAAGGTCCATCTTTCCTTTTCAAAGATAATCCCAGTGTTAGATAATGGCGTATGTGAAGGAAGGCACGTTAGTTTCAGATCATTGAAGTTCGGATGCTCCTCAATAGCCACTTTCGTAAGTGACAAATGTCTCTCATGCTGATTAATTGAAGTCTAAAAAATCGTTACTGTCTTCCCTGTGTTATTTTCAAACAGGAGGTGGAAGAAGCATACTTTCAAGTCGAAATTTGACCAATTAGTGATTTGTTACCGGATTTTTTAACAATGAGCTCATTTTTTCACATTCCATGAACATAAATTATCTATTGGAAAATACAGTAAATTATCATCTTAACTTAGTTTGCAACGAAAATCTTGAATTTGAAGCTTTTTTATTAGGCACCAAATCCAGAATAAAAGCAAAAAAACCTACAAGAAGCAACTGTTAAGAAATAATAGGTGTCTTTATATAATCACCTTTGTTTTCTAAACACCCACTTAGGCGAATTCTTCAGAACTGTAAATGAGGTAATTAGGACAGACAGCACTTAATTTATTTTTAAGGAACTTCATTCCTCATTGCTCCAATTTGAATTAACTATATTCATGATGTGGTGATTTGTTGAAATAGTTTTAACTTGTCATTCATTTATTTTCAATGAGGAACAGATTACTCAGTATTTCTTCTTCTTTTCTTTTATCTATACCTCTAAACCTTCCGAAGATGACCTCTCATTTCCTCTCCTCTTCCCATCCATTAAAAACTTCATTATATTTTCCTCAACTTTTTGCGCCTCCCTATTTCCCTTTATTTCTAATTCCCTCTTTCTTCTACAAAACGCATCCTTCTTCACCGCTAACCTTATCCAAAGTTGTAACATATTGAAAGATCTCTAGCTCTTTGGACAGTCCCACTCGATTGTTGATAAATTCTTATTGAAGCACTGAATCAACGAGCAGGTTTATAATGGTTCCCCTCAAAATTCCACCAGGAAGTAAGAAATCGTTCTTCTTGCGAGAAGCAATTTCACAACTATCTGAAACATTTCTTAGAATAATTGCTTAAAGTGATAATTCTTGTAACCGCAGAATTTGGAGCAATATAAGAAGAATTCTTGATGCGTGACGAGAAAGAAGGAATGGTCGTTATGAAGTAGTGAGTGGCTCAATTTCCTAATTTAAAAATTTGCGAAAAGTTGCCGAAAACAAAAAAGAATAGGAGAGATACACTAAGTGTGTTTTAAATCTATTCTTTCCTTTCACGGCTTTGGTTGTTATTTCGCCTTTATTATTACTCCAAAACCTTTCTTAATGACTTTTCTAAATTAAATTTTCTCAGAACGAAGAAATTGTTTGTTGCCGATATCCAGTGCAATATCTCAACTGAGCTTTTAGACATTTATGGAGGAAACGAGATTTTTCAAGTCGAGGCTAAAGATAATTTACCGTTCAGAATGGT